CCAGCATGGTGCTGGTGGCCTGCGACTCCTTGGTGAGTGTCCGGGGCGGGGTGGGAGCATCGGAGGGGAAAGGAGAAGGGGTGGGCAGCCGCGGGAAGGAGGGAGGGAGGGAGAGCTGTGGGGCAGTGGTACTTCGCGGTGTCCCGGCGTGACCCGGAGGTCGGAGGAGAGGTGAGTGAGGAGTGTTCCCTTGGCTCTGCCCCACGATACAAAGGCAGGCCTGCGAAAACAAGGGTGGGGATTTTTTTATTCTTCACCGTCGCCGCTTGTTGCCAATAATCGAGCTCTTGAAACTCAGGAGACCGTTATTGAGGGAGGAGACGTTGCTTTAGTCTTCATAGGGTGCTCAGTGAGAACTTCCAAAAGGCACTGGTATTTACGGTACAAAAATAACACAAATTCCACCTAACTAGTGCATAAGGTTACATTAGGCTGACACAGCAATCTCTTTGGCCTCATTGCACTTCCTGGAAGGTTTGGCTGTCTTGGGGTCTCTGTTATTTGTTTCACGTAGTACCCCAGACCCACTTTCACTGAAAGGATGTATTCCACGTGAGCTACTGGCAAAGAGGAGGTTTGTTCTTGGTAAGAAGCTTCTTTGGTTAGCTGCCATCCCAGGACAGCTCAGGATAATCCTCTAAAGTGTTTCTTTTAACATAAGATTCCTTAAACATGAGATTCTTGCAAGTGAGAAGACGTTGTCTGCATGTACAAAAAAACCCCAAGAGAGCCTGTAAATCCTTCACCAGAACATAAGATTCAGAAAGCTCAAAAGGACAAGTACATCACACGGAGTGCTTGGGACAATAAGGGCAAGCCTCCCATGTCAGTGAGACATTAGGTAACTCACGTATTCTAGACCAAACTGATCTTTCTACGCAGGAGCGTGTTTCGTACTTTCGTCAGGTGCATTCCAAGCCGTAGATTGCAGTGTGTCAGTTCCCACAGCCAGCTGTGGTCCCTTACAGCTTGTCATAGCGAGTTGGGATGGAGGGAGGCATGTCAGCAGGGCTGTGGGGCAGGGCAGCGATTAACAGAACTGACCTGGTGTGTAAAACAAATGCCTTCCTGTTAGCTTGAAAAGCAGAAAGGAAAGGAAGGTAATTAAACCTCGTTATTCTTGCCACTGTAAATCCTAAGAACGTTGTTTCCACAGCAGATGGGATGGAGAATTCCTGTAATCACAGATGACTTGTGATTCTGTGAGTTAAGCTGTTGAGCGTCGTATGTTAACTTACTCAGATTTTTGTTGGGTATAACAAATATTGCAATCAAATTGTCAGATGAATATCTACAGCTAAAAGGATAAAAGAATCAGTAGGTATATTTTAATAAATTTCTAGTGGCTTTATTACAGTGGTTCATACATTTGTTTTAACGTACAGGTGGGTAGACAAGATTTAATGTTTTTCAGTCACAAATACTAAGTGTATTTACTTGCTTGCAGCAAAAGACAGCATATTTTCACCCTTTTCTTGCCATGCTTCTATCTACCCACGCAGCAAACTAGAAATGCTTTTATGAAAGATTTACTCTGAGGAAAATTAAGGCCTCAGTTTCTCTGTCTTATCTGAGCTCTTCTTCCTGTTAAATGAAACAAAAGGTCCATTGTATCACTTCCAAGGACTTATCACATCTCATCACTTCCATTCACTGCTGAGAAATCAACACTTGGCTCCCAGTCATTTCAGATATTCCATCCTTGACTGCACAGGTCAGAGCAGCTGACTTCTTGCCTGTTGCCTGTCATTCTTGGGATGAATTCTTCCTAAGTATTTGGTAAACATGTAATGCCCTCTTTCAAACCCTTTCTTACAACATATGTTTGCTGTGATGTTAAAGCAATATCTCTGGATTTATTTTCCTTACTCTGACTCCGTTCTCTGTTTTTATTTTGAGGATAACATCTCTCTTAACATTCCAAGATAATGCATGTTTTGTAAGCGGGAATTTTTCTCCAAATTTTCAGCTTTTATTAAAAGTGTTATTTACCAATAAAATGTGAAATTTATAATGATTTCGGTCCTGAGAGTTCATCAGTGGCCAGTTTGTCTCCAGATGCTAGCAAAAGCTGCAGATAAATCTTAGTAAAGCTTCCATATGTTGTCCTGTAAACAGGAAGATTCTCATGGAATTAGTGAGATAGCCCTTACATAAGTGTAACACAAAACCCCAGGTTTTTGAGATGCTCATAAAAAAACAGTTAAGAAAAAGGTGCTGTTTCTGGAAAGCGTCCTGTTTGTGTAGTGTTTTGTGTAGTGTTTGTGTAGAAGAAGGATGTGTTGTGCTGTGTAAGTTTTTTATAGACAGATTGAAAGGCAGAGGTAGATTAATCATTTTGATTACATTGGTAGCACAGAACAGGAGGGGTTAGTTACTATTGAAACTAACAGTTTTCGGGGTGGGGGGGAGGGGGGAACAGCAAAAAACTCCACACCAAACTTGAGTCCTGCAGGCTGTTAAAGGCTCGGACTTTCATGAGAAAGTGCGCCTGCCTTTGTTATGGGTGATGCTCCCTGTGAAAGACTCACACCTGTTTTGTCAAGCGTGACAAAAAATTCCTTCTCAGTGGTGCTAGACTTCGTTTGGCCTCTAGAGCAGCAACCTCTTGCCTGAACAGCTGATTCTCCCCTGCTGTGTCACATAAAGCACCGTGCTTCTCGCAGGGCTTGCTGGTGGAATGTGCTGGCAGACGATTCACCTCCTAAATTGCCACTTGAGGTTTCCTGAGTGGAGACGGACCTTCCTTGCAGTGCAGCTCAGGTCCCTGCGTGAAATGAGCTTGCTTGTTTTACTCCAAATAATTACATGTTGCTTCAGAACTGTAAGTCCTGCACAGTTCTCGGAGAGTGGATTTCCAGAAATAGCTGTAGAGCTTCCACCTTCTCACCTTTACTTTTTTCACTGAATAGAAATGTTGCCTGTCTGTCCAGTATCAAAGACTGAACTCTTGTCTCCAGATGTTCAAAGAAATGATACCTTTATTGAAGAAACTCATGAATTTGTTGTTGACAGGGTGACATGTCCATCACGTGCTTTCTAAAGAGCACTTGCAGCCTGCAGTTCAAGTTCGTATTGTAGATCACCGCTTTATTTCTAGCTTGTCCTACCAAATGCTTGTTCTAGTTGCCATTTGTAGTAGTGTACAGAATGAGGTGACCATTCTGTGAATGGTGGCTGGGTGGCTAGAGAGGTAGTGAAGTGCTCATGCTGTAAGCTTAAAATATTTTAAACAATGACAGCATGATCGTAATCTTAACATATTTCAGTAATTTATAAGAAATGTTTCCTAATGTGGAGAACAGTTGTGCTGTGCTTAACTCCACTCCCTGCAGAAAACCTTGCAAACTCTTAATTATGTGCAGTATTTCTTGTAAATTTTGATTTTTTACAATTAGTGCCTACCCCTGGGGAATCGTGTAATGGAAGCACTAGTAACACAGACTTTAAATTCTTCAGGTTTGCTCTCATTTATTTTTGGTTTTGTTTTTTAATTTTGTCCTCTCACAAATCATTCCAGAAAATTCAACTAGTAAAAACTAAATGTGAATATGCAGAAACATAACTGCTAACGTGCAGAAACAGCATAGAATGGCATTGATAGGAAGAAAATAGGTAAAAACTGATAGGTAGCATTGTCTGATCTGTATTCTTCAGAAGCTGGAGACAGAAAGAAACACTTATCCTTTCCATTTAAGCTTGTCTTGTTTTTCATAAAGGAGGATATTATGTTAAATAAATACAATGTTTATTTCAAACAGTTATTTTCAAAACAAGTACAGTCTTTCAAAAAATGCATTTTCTTAATTAAGAAGTGTACAGGCCAGCTGTTCTCAGAACTCATACCTCCATCTGTCTGTTTTGTTCTAATCTAATAGTATTTTCTGCCATCCTTTGGAGTTTTCACTATGACTCAGATGCCTGAGAAGTGAGTGCACCTGTTTCATATGTACCATTATTTAAAGGTGAAATTTCACAGATGGTGTGGGCTTGGTCCTCCGTCGCTTAAAACTATACATGTTCTTTACATTTTGAAGTAGACAATAAAAGGTCTGTATCTGAAGCACTCATGGAGTTTTTACTAGTTGACTAAAAATACTCAAGCAATAGTAAGAGAAAGTAACTCCTATAATTCATTTATATCTTATGATTTTTGTTTATGATTCAACAGGAGCACAGTGGTCATTCAGTTCAATATTTTCTGTTGAAGAGGTAGTAGATCACTAGATTATTGTTTCCGAGATTTCTCACGTAACAAAGTACAGTAAAAGCCACAGTGCAGTTTTGTACTCAGTGTCATGTAATGGCATTGAGCAGACACTAAGAACCCTTTGTACCAAGTGAGGCTTGCTCAGTGTATGGTATGGGAAGCGTTTTTTTTGTAGGCCTGATGCCAGTAGGCTGTGTCTGGGTATAAATTACTGCTGCGTTGCAAGTGATCACACACCAGCTGTTTGCTGTGGTTTCTTGTATAGGAACTATTTACACTGAATAAAAATAATTTAAAGTAACTTGGTAGCGTGGTCTAATGCCCACATAAGGATTAGAGGTAAGTATTTGCGTGCTGGCGTTTATGATGCAGAGGCTGATGTGGTAATTTGTCTGTTGTCTTTGGAACAAGTGAGCCAGTAGCTGGTGAATTTGTAACTGGAGTTTGACTGTCAACAGTCTCCTACCAAAGAGCTGACCGGTAAGGCTGGGGCTGAACCGAGCCATTGTGCTGCACCAGGGAAAGCCGTACAAGTGGCAGGAAAAAACAGTGACCCAAAACAGCGCGGTCTGCTTGAAAACTGTTTTCACATCGTCATAGTGTTGTACAGTAAAAGTACCAACTTGAATTCTTAAGTCTTTTTAAAGTTACCTTTTTAAAAATCTAGCTAAAGAAATAGATAAAGCGAAGGGTCAAAAAAGTGTCAAAAGGGAACCACTACAAATGGCATTTCAGTGGAGGAACAGCCTTCCTTCAGCTCGTTGATCACTTTTGCAGTTCATAGTTTAAAATAAATTCACAGAGATGTGATGTGGGTGAACCATTTAAAAGAGGAAAAGGATGAGGGATCAGTTCTCCTCTCAAAGAAATACATGCCGGTGTACAGATCTGCTCCAGGATTCAGGCTGACTACTTTTCGTCTTCCACCATATCGAGCCCTCTTGAATGTGTCGTGGTAGGACCCTACTCGTGGAAGAATTGGAGCTTAGAATATGTGCAGTGCTCAAAAGGAAGTAATTTTACTGTGGAAAAAGTCCAGTTTTCTTTATTATTACTCTTTTCCATAAGTAATCCATTTTATATTGATCTAAATAAAGCTTCTTGACACTTTTTTTTCCATACCTGAGTAAAACTGGCAGTAATCAAGTAATTGTGTAATACAAGAATTGAGGAATACAAGTTCCAGGTAACAAATTTATGAAGTAACACAGCTGCTTACATACTGTTTTTCTCTGATTGCAGGATGGACGCTTGACATTTTATCCAGGAAATCAGACTGTGAAATTGCCTTTCATAAATTTTATGAAAAGATATGGCACTGTCTTCCTCAATGCCTATACGAATTCTCCAATTTGTTGTCCTTCACGGGCAGGTAGGATCAAGCAAAATGTCAGATAAATGCTTGCACGCGTCTGTTTAAATAGGTGGTAATGATGGGAAGTTTCAGATTATTGAAGTTTGGAGGATTTGTTGGAGTTTTTTTCAATGAGACTTTTTTTTTCATTTGTGCCTGAATTTATGTGGTATTCTCATGTTCAATTTGTTTTTCTTTTCTTGTATTTCTTGTGCTTCTTCCTTTTTTGTTTTGATGTGTTGTTCTCCTTACTCCAGCTATGCATGCGGTTTCAAATCTTTTTGCAAAGTCTGCTGAAGAACTGGTGGCTTTTAAAGATCTCCAGTATTTGTAGAGAAATTGTCAGTTTGTCTGCTCCAGTGCTGAAACTGTGTTCAGAATTACTGTCCCTTACCTCTACAAAGTTACTAATATAATATTCTTTCCTGTTCTCAGGAAAAAGTATTAAATAGTAACAGGTGAATGCATCAGTGGCTGTTAGCACTGTTTTATTATGACATTCCAAACACTGTTAAAGACATAAAGTACCTTTCAGTAGCTTTAACTGAATACTTCAGTATTTTTCTTTACTTACAGCAATTATTGTCCTATGTTTAATGTCACGCTTGTAGGATTTGCTGGGAAGTTGGAAGGAAGCTGTATTTAACCAAAACTTACATCTTAAAACTTTTCTAGGCCTTCAAGTTGTGGCAAAGACTCTCCAGAGATGATGCAAATGAAATTCCATCTGTAGCAGAAAGGAAGATCCCACTTTCTCTCAAGCATTAAGAAAGATAATAACATAATAATAGAAGAAGCAACCAGTCTTGACTGCAGCAGGCACACACTGTCAAATTTAGTGTTAGTGTTTGATATTCTGTTTGTTGATAACCTAGTCCTCTTTTCTGTCTCTCAGGGTCATAAGTGGGTGAGGTTGCATGAACGCATCATCAGTCTTGTTTTCTTTTTCTTGATTTTTGAGTCTTCCAGCCAGTCTTTGTTGCTGAGAACAGCAAACTTGTGCCAGGCTGTTTAAGAAATTCTGTGAAAATAGCAGCTAGCGCTCCCTATGAGGAAGAGGCTGTGTGATGAGTTAATGAATTCAACAGTTCATGGGTTCTGTTTAGCATCTTAGCTGGTCTGTCAACAGCATCATGAACCAACAGGCTATCTTTTTTTTAACCAGTAGTTCAGAGACCTACAGCAACCCAGGCAACATTTATTTTGGAGGTGTCAAGGATGATGCGAAAAGATACGGTGGGAAAGGAGGACTTTGGGCCTGGGAAAGTAGGAGTATTGCTGTGGTGTGGGGTTGAGGTTGACGCACTTGTTCGTGCTTACAGAATATTTCCATTGCCTAGAGAACAGCTTTGTTTTGTTTCAGGACTCCCTTTTACTTTAAATTAGTACTGGAAAGAGGGAATTATTCCTGACAAGCTACAAACAAACAGGAATTGGCTAATAACTTTCTGTGTGGTTCCTTTGCAGCTCTTCCCTTGGTGTCATTTCTTCTTGGCCTGTTCTTTATTGAAACCACTTTGTTTCTACAGCTGGTGGTGAAGTAGAGTACCTAAAAAGGATAAAAGAGAGGGCATATAGTATTTATGAAAATAATACACTCTAATTCCCTCCACAAACATAAAGTCCCATTAAAATCTAACTGAAGTAAGGGAGATAATACCCTGGAACACATGTGAATACATGACTGTTTCATCAGGATCTGTACTACCATGGCATTTTCTTTCTGCAATCAAAAAGAATATTTACTGATCTACAGAAAACCTTGATTTAATGATTGCATAGCACATGCAAATGTGGGTCTGCCTTCTGGGATTCTTGGGATTTTTTTTTTGGTAAATGTTACTACTCATGTTAATAATTAAAATAAGATTTGGGAGAGTAAAATTTTGTTATTGGATCACAATGTGGAGTTTTTACCTTTAAAATAATGAGACGGTTGATCCCTTCTCAAGTATATTCAGCTTACACTTATACATAAAAAAATGCATCTCTCTTCTTTTTTTGTCTCAGCTATGTGGAGTGGTCTTTTCACTCATTTAACAGAATCTTGGAATAACTTCAAAGGTCTAAATCCAGATTACGTAACGTGGATGGATCTCATGGAGAAGCATGGATACCGCACCCAGAAGTATGGGAAACTGGACTACACCTCTGGACATCATTCAGTAAGGTAATCGAATAGATTCTCCCACTGTTAAGTGGGCAGATGTGAATAAATCAAGTGGTTTCTGTCTCTGATAGAAACAGTAGTAGCTTTAACTTGAAAGAAATTGTGTTAGTAACCTAGCAGGGTTCTGTCCTGCAATGTTATGCAGAAGCAAACCTGTAGCTGGAAGATGAATATCAAGAGTCTGGTTTTGCTCCTTGTAAATGAAAGCTATTTTTGATTGAAATTTATAAATCATTTTTGTCTTGTCTTGAGACTTCCTGGCTTAATTACACTAGCAGTGTAGAAAAAGCAGAACAAAGAAAGATGTTTGATAATACTTGAATATTAAATCCATCATCACAAAACATGAGGTGGTTTTAGTTTTTTGAAGGCTGTGTTTTCACAGACTTGTGTTGTTGTGGTGGGATGACCCAGGCTGGATGCCCGCTGCCCACCAAAGCCACTCTGTTGTCGTCCTCCTCAGCTGGACAAAGTGGAGAAAAGGTACTGAAAATGCTCATCGGTTGACATGAGGGTAGGGAGAAATCATTCACCAATTACTGTCATGGGAAAAACAGACTCAACTTGGGAAAATTAATTTATTACCAATCAAAATCAGTGTAGGGCAATGAAAAATTGACCCAAATCTTAAAATACCTTCTCCTCAGCCCTCCCTTCTCCCCAGGCTTAGTTTCACTCCCAATCTTCTCCACCTTCTCCCTCCCAGCGGCTCAGGGGGTCGGGGAATGGGGGCTGTGGTCAGTTCCTCCCACCACTCCCTCCTCCTCAGTGGGAGGGCTCCTCACCCTCTTCCCCTGCTCCAGCCTGGGCTCCCTCCTGCAGGAGATCATCCTCCCTGACCTTCTCCAACGCGAGTCCTTCCCACGGGAGACAATTCTTCCCGAACAGCTCCAGCGTGGGTCCCTCACAGGGTCCCAGGTCCTGCCAGCAACCCTGCTCCAGCACGGGCTCCTCTCTCCATTGGGTCCTGCCAGGAGCTGCTCCAGCGCGGACTTCCCACGGGTCACAGCCTCCCTCAGGCGTCCAGCATGGGGTCCAGCGCGGGCTGCGGGTGGCCGTCAGCTCGACCAAGGGCCTCTGTGCTCCACAGGTGGCATCTGCTCCAGCACCTGCAGCACCTCCTCCCCCTCCTTCTTCACTGACCTGGGTGCCTGCAGGGGAGTTTCTCTCGCGTGTTCTCACTCCTCTAGCTAAAATTCCAGAGGAACTTTTTCCCCGCTTCTGCAGAACGTTATTCCAGAGGCACCAGGACTAGTGGTGACGATCGGGGCCTTGGCCAGTGCTGGGTCCATCTTGGAGCTGGCTGGCCTGGGCTCTCTTCACCTGGAGGAAGCTTCTGCTGGCTTCTCACAAAAACCACCCCATAGCTTCCCCTGCTACCAAACCCTTGCCATGCAAACCCAGTGCATCTGTACTTCCTATGCTGCAAAGCTTTCTTTACCAAAAAAAAAACGTTACTAGAATTACAGCAATTTGTGAAAAATACTAAAACATTTAGAGACTAACTGCATTATATTCAGAAATATTAAGAAAAATGTGTCTGGGCAATTGGGACAAAATACAGTTTCTTCCTTTAGTATAGTTTTTATGAAGAAGCACTATCTCCCTGATTAATAATGATGTTTGTTGCTGAAATAATAATAAAGAGTAGCTTCTTCTTCGATATTCAACAGGTTTGAGTGACTTAAAATTTCCTTACTTCCCTCACTAAAATGACCAATCAGACATTCAGAGGTCATATTAGTAGTTAATAGTGTGTTGCACATGCACACTGCTTTTCATCTCCAAAAGACATTATAAATTGTACCCACTTCAGAATACAGCCATAGTAGTAAAACTGTCAAAAACAAAAGAAGGCACTTTTTCCCCTTTTCTCATATACCAATTCTACACTGGAAGTAAAAGATTATTCAAATACAGACTCGCAGCAAAAACTTCATGTTTACTTCATTTACCAGACAGTGTACATATCTGTTTACTACTGATCCATCTGTCTTGTCTCTGTCTGCAGTTCTTAGTAACTTAGCATCTAACTAGGTACAGATGGGCGTCCAACCTCTAGTCTTTTTTCTGAAGACTGCATTGTTCTGGATTATTCTTGATTTTTTTTTTTCCCCCAGGAAAAAACAATTACAAGCCTCTGCTTCAGGTCAAAGAGACACATGTCTGTCCTTTCGAGTGTGGGTGGCCTTCTCCACTTACAATTTAAAATAGATTTAGTTACTGACTGTCATGTAATTACCTTCACTTGATTTAAGGATGGTGTTAGTTTGTTAAGCTTTATCTTCTGTGTTGCGTAGCTGTACTCCCATCCTTTATTTATCGTCTTGTTTTTTCACTGCATGTATTTTAGTCCCTGGAGTACTGTCTGCTAGCAAAGGAAATATAGAATCTCAGAATCACAGGATGGCTCGGGTTGGCAGGGACCTTGAAGCCCACCCAGTTGCGCCCCGGTGCCCTGGCCAGGGACCCCTCTCAGCAGAGCAGGTTGCTCCAAGCCCCGTCCAACCTGGCTTTGAGATCCCCCTTCATTCTCACTGAAAGTCTTGAAAATTAAGACTAATTTCTGAAGCTTTTGAATAATTATCTGTCAAGTTATTGCTCTTGCCTTTTAAATTCAAGATTTGAATTTTGTATTTCCCCCTTTTTCAACTCTCCACTTGACTTTTTGAGGAATCTTGTTCTGACCTATCTTTTTCTCCTCTTCTGCCTGAGGATCAATTTTCCTCATGGATGTCTCAAAACATCTTTGTTGCTTCAGAATGTGGAAAAGGTCTGAAGTGGGTTTTTTAGGGGGGGTTGGTGGTTTGGGGTTTTGTTCAGTTTGGGGAGGGGTATTTTGTTTATTAGTTTGTTTGGTTTTTTACTTGATCCTAACCTCAATCTGTCTGGATAGCTGGACTGGCCTGTGGCCTACATAATAATGTTTTCTGTATAAGTCACTGTTAGGACACCAGATGCTATTTGACCCGCCAACTCACCCCCTTACTGTCATTTCATTTTAATGTTTATGAAATGTACATCCTGTATAGACCATCTAGCTACCTAATTTGTTAAAGTAATTTGTTTAAGCCAATTTACCTTGAAAATATGAGCCTAAACAAGAAGTTAAAACAATAAAAAAAAAAGTTACAGATAATTCTGAATAGTTTTTTTCTAAAGATTAAAAGTGCACTGGTAAAATTCCTGTGGTGACAAAGCTGGTTACATGCTCTTTAAACAATAATAATGCTGCGTTTTGATGACAATACATGTTCAAACAGTTTCATATTTTCTTTTATCCTTTCCTTGGTTACACTGAAATTGCCATGAACAAAATCAACATCAGTCAAGGTCGTAAATGGACTGTTTCCTCCCAAACCTTTTACATGGCAGTTGTGGTGTCATTCCCTTTGGCAAAGAATTGAGGACATCGGCAGCTCAGATTTCTCAGTGTTTTAGAGAGGCAACAATTGTCATGATGTTAGAAAATCTGTTTGAAAAATATTTTATCATTGAAGTGTTGTCTTTTTTTCCCCCTTCTTGCATTCTGTACACCCTTCTCTGATACTCCCTTTTTTGATGACACTTATCAACTATATCAAAATTGTACAAGATAAAACACTCTTACAGATTTTTGTCATAAGCGATAAGTGTTTCAAAATGTTATGATAGTATAATCCAAAACCAGAACATTGCTTCTAAAGACAACCTCTCCAGACAAGTTATTCTCCAGAGGACTTTTTCAAGTAACAAAAATCAAAGGCGCTCTTCACCAGGTAAGCAGTTTGTGAATCCATGCCAGAATGGGGAGCAGTGTCAATAAGGTGGAGATGCTATTTCTAAATTTTATTTTTTAGATGTGAGAAGAACCATTCGGACATGAAGTTATGATAAATATGAAGATTCAGAAGCAGAAAAAAAATGGCTAAATCTTTGAGTATAAAATAGATGCACAACAGCTATTGATCAATTGAGTCACAAATCTCCTTTATGTAGAAATTGCAAATAGATTGCAGCTATGAGTATAGGGGAGGTCCTTCAGGAATTCTTAATTCTCTTGACTTGGAAGAATAGTGAAGAAAACGTTCTTCACTGAGTATGTATTCTGTGCATATATTTTCAGTAACCGTGTGGAAGCTTGGACTAGGGATGTTGACTTTCTGCTCCGGCAAGAAGGCAGACCCATGGTGAATCTTACTGGTGATATGAAGCATGTGAGAGTGATGGAAAAAGACTGGCAGAATACTGATAAAGCAGTGAATTGGATAAAGGAAGAAGCCATTAACCTTACTCAGCCATTTGTTCTTTACTTGGGACTAAATTTGCCACACCCATATCCATCTCCCTATGCGGGAGAAAATTTTGGAGCCTCTACATTTTTAACATCTCCCTATTGGCTTGAAAAGGTATGCAAAGATGAAATTTAGATATGTTTATTTATAACTCTACTTATTACGAACTGTATTTAATTCCTAGCATGATTTTTCAAGTTAGACCTGGTTTTGATATTTCTGTACACAGTGAGATAGTACTGGGATGAGATGTTAGATTTCTGTTTTAAATCTAAACAAACAGAAGTGAAGAATAACTGGTGTAGGAGAGGGTTTGTAGTTACTAAATCAATAAAGAAATTTGGAGTTCAGTGGCTAGAAACACATTAAATGGAGAATCAAATGGTTGCTATACTTCGCTGCAATTTTTTTTTCAGTAGCAGTCTGAACTTCATTATTTTAGCATTCTGTATTGTGGTTGTTATAAGTGATGCTGTATGTTATCACTCGCTCTCCAGTTTTCCTACAATATGAACGTATAATGGGAAATAGCAGAAGTCTTTCTTTTCTGTTTACTGCTTTCCATGCTACTGTAGGTTTTCATTGGTTTTAGAGTGCAGAAAAGTCTCATTATGTCCATATGTAGAAAGCTAACAGATAGTGCTCCATTCCAAAAAATGTAGGTTTTGTTTGGTTTTTTTTCTCTGTATCTTATGTGACCTCCAGGTGCCATTATCTGTCATAAAAATGTAGTCACAACTGCTTTCACTGTGTTAAGATTCTCTGCAGCTGAAGAACTGAGAATTAGGTTTGAAAAGACTTTATGGTTATTTTTTAAAAAATGCAGTTTATGTAACTTATTCTTTTCTCCGGGGAAACTGCAAAATCTCTTTAGGTTCAACAAAAATACGAGAATTTAGAACTTTCTAGGTGCTAATTGCTAGGTTAGACATGTCTTGGGAAGTAGGGGTATCTTTTTTTCAAGTCACAGACAGAATTAAAACATGTCTGGCAAATTTTTGTCATCCTTAACCCAGTTAGAGTACTTAAACTCTGTAGTTTGCTGAGATCCCATCCACCACTACATACACATACGTGATTATGTGAACCACTTATTACCATTTATTGATCATCAGCTGATTCTTCTGGAACGTATCTGTGTTTCAGCTGTGGAAGAAGCAGTCTGAAAATTACAGAGATCAATCTCATGAAGTTTGAGTGCACAAATCAAGAATTTGAATTACATTATATGTTTACTGGGAAGCTAATATAGAACAGAGTATCAACACAGTATGTTTATGAAACCCTGTGTTGCTAAGCAGATGGTCTCCTGTATTTTGCACAAGGTGGCACTTTTTCAGGGCACAAGGCTTCTTGTCTAGCTATGAATTAGGACAGACAGACAAATGGACTATGACACTGTGAATCCTTAAAATCAGGTTGTAGTCCTGTGGTAAAGGCTTTAGTCTTCAAACGAATACAGAGGAACACATTTTGCTTCCGTTACATATTAAGCAACTAATAAGAACCATTTGAGAAGTCTAAAATATGACTTTATGTAGCCACGGACCTTCAGTGATCTGAAGGCGACTGAAGCAATCATCTGCTATTATTTTAATCTTCCACGATTTCTTCTTGCAGGCTGTCTTCTACAGGGCCTAAGGAAACTCAAGTTTTGAGGTTTCTGTTTGACTTTTACAAAGCTTCATCCCTATGGGCACTTCAACTCCTGGTGTCTTACCAACTGTTTAGGTGGCTTAAAATATCTACTAGATAACTCAACAGATAATTTTTAAGTCTACAATACAGAAGTAATTAACTGTTAAATGCAGCAGTTACGACACCTCAGGCTAAATGTGTGTGTCAAACTTCCAGGCTCTAACGCTGGTACTGCAGCACACAGTATCTGTCAGCATGGCTGTTTGAATATACAAATCCAGCATCACTTTTCATTGGTTGGCTCCTACTTTTTCGTCTCAGACGGATCTTACACTTCTTTATAACAAAATGTATGGACAGCTGTAAAACCATGTAGAAAAGTATTAGAAAATTGGGCTAATGTAGTGCATTCTTTTTATTGGGATGTCAAGACTTTTTATCCACTGCCCTGGAGACCTTCCCAGGCTAAATCAATTTATTTCCATGGTGTTCTGTAGGTTCACATAACACCTCATCTTTTTGATCCGTTCAGTCTATGGTTATCCTATAGTTAATGAGACAGTGTGCTGGTACTTTTATACTTACTGCAGAGCACAGTTCTAGAAGACTGTTGTGCAGTATCTCTCTTGAAAAAAAGATGTCAGCTGCTAAAGCACATATTTCTGGCTCCTAGCCGTAGTTTCTAGGTAATTTTTATAGCTCTTTTCAAAATGACTTGGTACCTATGGAAGCAGAGGGGAAGTATAGAGGAGGTAGCAGCACCATATAACGGGTAAGCCTCTGGTGTTTCCTGGACCACAAATTAAGAACTGTGAATTTATGCTAAAGTGTTCTAAATTAAATCTGAGGGTTTTTTTAAAAAAAAAATGTTTAATTCAGTTGCTAAAGTAATGTTAATTTCCTCTTATTTTTAGGTAACTTACGAAGCTATTAAAATTCCCAAGTGGTCTTCTCTTTCAGAGATGCATCCGGTAGACTATTACTCATCTTACACCAAGAACTGCACAGGGGAGTTTACAAAGCAAGAAGTGAGAAATATTAGAGCATTTTATTATGCCATGTGTGCAGAAACAGATGCCATGCTAGGTAGGTAATGTTTCATTATGCAGTTCTGATTTTCTTAAGAAAATGCTGATAGGCCTGGTCTTCTGGAAAAAAAAAAACCCACAGCACAGTTAAGATCTGGAAGTAAGTCATGTGGATGTTGCTTCATCAGTCTATAGGATAAATGACTGGATAGCTTTTAAGATGATTGCAAAGACATTTCAGAGCACTTTGAAAAGTATTCACAACCACCAGCCAGAGACCCTGTAAAAGCCCAGTAGCTGCAGCAAAACGATGCTTGACCCATGTACTAGAGGAGCTAAATACTCTTTGATTAAATGCTGACTGAAATAGTGGAAGCATTTGTGAAGGGTACAGACAGAGCTTAGAGGAAAGATAAATTCTAGGGCATAAGCAGTTTCCTTGGAGATTGATATCAAATGCATAAGATGGATGACAGCTGTTAGGGATAGAACAATAAGATTACCGTTGAAATCTCCCTTAGCAGCGTGGTATACTAAAATAAGAAGAAAAAAAGAAGTAATTAGGCATTCAGAATTCTTCCTAGTTTGCACTAAGGTCTGTATACATGAAAATTTTATTGCAAATTGGTCTTCATTTACAGTATTTAATTCCTCGATTTAGCAAGGGTCTGAAGGAAGAATAGTTTCCTTGCCTTCTAATACGAAATTCATTAATAAATAATCTTTTTAGCAATACTAGAATGATAAAGTAATTTAAAATACACAGAATTACTCTTCCACATTTTATGAAAGTAGAGAGATCAACAGGAGCCTAACTGTTTCAGGGAATGCAGGAGTTGCTAAGTAACTGCACTGGAGTTTAGTTGGGTAACATAACTTTTTAACTAGCCTGTTTAAGCAAGAATGATCTTAGTGTTTTAATGTTAAAGATGCATAAGTGCTTTGCTTCATTGCCAGCTTCCTTGGTCTCAGCGCTGTCTTTGTTACACGAATGTTTGTGCAAGGGGCTGCTGTGGGGATGTAGGCACAGGAGGGAGAAACTTCGCTGACTGTGTGAGGTGGGTGCTGTTAAGAGGAGTCCTTCACCCCTAAATCTCGTGTCAGGGCTTCTGCTGACCTATTTTACTGCTGTTGGAATAACTATTATTAGTTATGCTAGAAATTAAACAAAAGTGACGACAGTGAAAATGCAGCTTGTCTTGTGGCACATCTTTGCCTTTTGAAATTGATGACGGTTCTTTTTCAGTGCTCTAGACCCCTGCAGCTCAGTGATGACTGTACATTATTCTGGGCCCAACACCTCATGCTCTGCCTCCTGTGGCAGAGAGAGGAGTTTCCAGCCCTCCAACTAGAATCTCCGAGGGTTTGCTGTGGTATCTTGTGGTACAGAAGTTGGAAGCATGTATAGTTTGGATGTATTCTTTTCAGTATCTTTTTCTTATTGCAGGTGAGATTATTTCAGCTCTAAGAGATACTGGGCTTCTCAAAGACACAATAGTTATATTCACTGCAGATCATGGAGAACTTGCTATGGAGCACCGACAGTTCTATAAAATGAGCATGTATGAAGGAAGTTCCCATGTTCCTCTTTTAGTTATGGGGCCAGGTGTAAAACAGCAGCAGCAAATACCAAATTTGGTGTCTCTCGTGGATATATATCCTACTATGCTTGGTGAGTTAAGTAATTTCAAATATTTTTTCCCCAGTTAATAGCTACTGTGATGCATTTGTACTAGTCAGAATTATGTCTCCACTTTGTGACACAATGTGGTAACACAACAGGAGATAAGTTTATCTGTGGAGCATACATACAGACTTAATACAAATGCAAAAAACAGATGTAAAAATTAAGTAAAGGAGCTGATGATGTTCCGTATTACTGTTATCAGCACAATTACGTGAATTATTATATATAGTGTTACTTGTTACAAAAAAAAAAAAAGCTGATAAAACACAGTTAGATGCTTTTTAGATATAAGTAATACTTACTGGTCTTCATACCTAATAGTTTACTGTAGAAATTACAGAGTAAATGCATCCAGAAATGAGATTTAACAGAAAAGTATGGCAGGTTCCTTAACTTTTCAAAGGAATATCCCTTGTGAAGAGTCATATGGGAAAAATGTGATAAAGGTTTTGTATAGGAAATGTGCAGTTGATCTAGGCAAGGTAGTAAGATCTGACCATGGATATATATTCTTACCTTCTTGGATGTGGAAACACTCGTTGTGGAGCAGAGAATCAAACAAAAAGGACTGATATCAAATTTCTTACAAATGGAAATCGCTTTTAAGAGTGAATTTCTGTACAGTTACCTGTGATCATGAAAGGTCATGCAGGAGGTGAATCTCATTGGAACTAAACATTAGGTGAAGTCGCTGTTTGAGGCTTTATCTGGGATCTTTTAGGCTACTAGTCCGTGAAATATTCTTTTCAATGCAGTCTTCAAAGCTTGCTCTTTAAGAAGTGTCATTTGTACACTACAGTTGCTTGGAGAATGTGAGACAGTAGATATACTATACTTGTAGCAGTAATATCCAGTGAACAATCCTCTTCTGTATTGTTTTTAGCTGATTTTCTAAAAACAGAACAAAAGTATTTATCTGCCTATCTCTTCTCAAAACTTACTGAGCTTAAAATAAGTTATAATCTTAGTAGCTTCCTCTTCCAAATTCTGATATAAAACTTTTATATATACAAGTAATCTATATTAGATATGGTTCTTATGTAAGTTGTGGCATCATGTATGAAGAGTTTAAAAAATCTCATTTTTTCTTCTTTGTGCCTTTTCCCCACATAACATAATTGGTCAGGCGGTTTAACATTCTTTCTTCTTGTTGTTTTCCTTCTTTTTTTTTTTATTTCCCAGAACTTCGTGTTTGTAAATCCTTTCCTTCTGTTCTGGCACTTCCCCTTTCCTGTAAAATCTGAATGTCAGAAAAGACAAGTAAGCCAAGATGAATGTGAAAATGTGAAGAATCGTCTCTGTTGCCTCTTGTGTCTTCAGGCTGCATGCTGCTGGTGATTAGTGAGGAAACAGATTTCAACTCTTTTTTCCATGATAAATGTAATCCTTGTGCTTCGTGTTGTCTCAGGGCAATAATCTCTCTTAAGATGCCATTCTAATGCTTTTCTTAATACTTCATCCTCTACTGACTTCGAGATTAGGTGTGCCCTGTGGCCAGTGTGGTACAGATGTTTTGATTCCAGCAGAATCTGTGTGACACGGGTAATCCAGCCAGGAGCACAGCAGCCCTTCAGGTTTTCAACAGGTTGTAGCATAACCTTTCCTGCAGACAGTGCAGGCTTTGCTGCTCTGGATGCAAGTATGTTTGTCGGAACAGCAGAAGCTAAGGAAGGTGCCAGGCTAGAGCGTTCTTTATGTGTGAAGAATGCAGAATAATTAGGCATTCAGATTGTTGCAATTAAGAGCATTACTGGTTTAGGGTCATCGAAGGCCCATGTCTGTTTTTCATTTGTTCAAATCTAGTATGTGTTTGAATTTTTAGCCCACACACTGGAAGCTACTGGGTTTACATGTTACAGGTCTTTCTAATGCTTCCTCAAATGCTGGCCTTTTTATTTACCAGAGGAAGAACTGCAGGGATATAGAAGCATAGAGTCATAGAATCGTTCAGGTTGGAAAAGACCCCTGGGATCATTGAGTCCAACTACAAACCCTACTCTGCAAAGCTCACGCCTAAACCATCTCCCCAACACCGCATCTCATCGACCTTTAAACACCTCCAGGGATGGGGACTCCACCACCTCCCTGGGCAGCCTGTGCCAATCTCTGACCACTCTTCCTGGGAAAAAGTTTTTCCTAATTTCCCCTGTTGCAGTCTGAAGCCGTTCCCTCTTGTTCTATCACTAATTACCCGTGAGAAGAGACCAGCACCAACCTCTCTATGTCCTTTCAGGCAGTTGTAGAGTGAAGAGATCTCCCCTCAGCCTCCTCTTCAAACTTACCCAGCTCCTTCAATCATTTTTCGTAAGATTTATTCTCCAGGACCTTCCTCAGCTTCGTCACCCTCCTCTGCACTCGCGCCAGCCCCTTGAGGTGGCCAAAACTGGACACGACACTCAAGGTGTGGCATCACCAGTGCCCAGTACAGGGGGACAATCACCTCCCTACTCCTGCTGGTCACACTATTTCTAATACAAGCCAGGATGCCACTGGTCTTCTTGGCCACGCTGCTGACTCATGTTGGATATGGACCTGTTAGTGTCCTTTCAAGCTGTGACAATCTTTTTCTCCTACCTGAAGCGGTCAGAGCAGAAGGAAGGGCATAAAACCATGATTAAAAAAAAATTTAAAGCACCCAGTTATCACTGGAGACTACCATGATGTGTTTTATCACCCATTAAAAATCGACTTAGACATAGTTGTTTCTGCTGCAGATCAGGATGGAGGGCTGCCGACCTTGGACAGTTCCTTAAGGATGGTTTCTGGGGTTTTTTTTTAATATTTGTGTATTTTTCTGTTCCTGTGTTCTACAAGGAGAATAATTAGGAATGCAAGTGTCCTTATTGTAATAGCATTTATGTTCAAGCACTATGTCAGGCTTTTTTAATCACAGCGACTGCAGTAGCCTTTTTTGACTTTGCGTATCTTTGCTCAGACATTGCGAGAATTCCTGCCCCACAGAACCTCAGTGGATATTCTCTTATACCACTGCTACATGGAAAAGCTGAAAACGAAGTGTCCCCTCGAAGGCCTCGTCCCTCGTGGGTGCTGAGTGAGTTCCACGGGTGCAATGTGAATTCTTCCACATACATGCTTCGAACGGGCAAGTGGAAATACATTGCCTACTCCGACGGCCGTTCAGTGCTTCCACAACTGTTTGGTACGTTACAACTTTTATGTCCCAACCGATTAATTTACTTAAAACGCAAACTGGCTGTGTAACTGGCTTTTTGTTTGTTGCAGACCTTTCTGACGACCCAGACGAGCTAACAAACGTTGCTATAAAATTCCCAGTAATTGCACATTCCTTGGACAAAATGCTCCGCTCTGTAGTAGACTACCCAAAGGTTTCTTCTTCTGTTCACGAGTATAACAAAAAGCAGTTTATCAGTTGGAAAGAAAGTTTGGGTCAGAATTACTCTGATGTTATTGCCAACCTTAGGTGGCATCAAGACTGGTTAAAGGAACCAAAAAAATATGAGAATGCGATTGACAAGTGGCTTAGTCAAAGTAAGTAAATGAAAGCAAGCTAGATTTACTGTAACTGAGAATATGGAAACATTCTGAACTTGTAATATCATGCTGTATTTCAGGTGTTACAGTTGTCTTATAACAGCTGTTGAAAGCAAAGATCCTCAGATAATTTGTACATTGTGTAAGAAAGCCAAAAGCATTTTATGTAACTATCCTGCCAACAAATCTAGGGTTTTTACAGGCTATAATTCTGTAGCACTTGGGTATACATGGGAAGGATAGTACCTAAGTACTAACTGTACTTATGGAATATTAAGCTGGTTGCAAAAATGCAGAGTATTAGTCATTAGAACTCAGTTGGAATTTCCATTTCTAAGGACAGGATTGTAAAATTTTGGGTAGTAGGATACCAGTTACGCTGGAATGTGCTGGAGCCAAATTTCCATCAGGTGGATTTTAAGTCTGCAATGCATACACAGTCATCCACTGCAGAGAAGCTGTAGTGGTTAAAATATAATAAAGTTTGCCAGTATTATTGGTCTGAACATAGATACAGATTATTCAAGTCAGCATCCCTGTTCTATACACTTTTCCAAGATCTGCCATATAATCTCTTGCTTTTGGCTCCGGAATTTAATCACTCCTTGATGTCTGAAATTTCGCATAGGCTGTTAATGGGACGTGTGCAAGTGAAGAGGAATCTGATCTCTGGTCACTGTCAGAAATTAAAAAAAAACAACAAAGCACAAAACCTCTAACCAAACCTGCAAGTAGAGTTCTCTGAGAAGCAATAATGTGGTTTCGTAGTTTAAGATGAAAACTGCTTTAATAAATCTGCATTACACAGTTGGATTCTGCAGGTAGATGTTTTAATGTGCATTAGCAACTGGAGAACTGGAACCTGCGGTGTATACAGAGGAGATGCACTTGAAGCTTGCAGGGAAAGTTAACATCAGAATACTATTTCACGTTTTTTTCAGGGCTGCGACAAAAAAAGAAGTTTTGGAAGAAGGTGAGATTTAGCTAGTAACTGTTCCACTTAAAGAGAAACATAATTGTAGCAGCATTTATGTTTGCTTATTCTTGAAGATAGTTATTGCTGCTATAGTAACAATTCAGGATGACATTATATTTCATTCCTAAATGCCTTCTGGAATCTGTAATGAAATACTCATCAGTAGCAGTAAGCTAGTAAAAATAAACATGAGAAATAAATCTATTTTCTGATAGCTAAGCACTCCACATGCATTTCATAAAGAACTTAACACACAAGAATCAGGTACGTATTTATGAATGTTTTAGGTGTTAGATACTTCTGTGTTCATAAATCATTAAGGCTAACCTTATACTACTTTCTGCTGTGGTAGCCTTTTTTGCCTTCTTTTCTTTTTTATGGGGATCAGCAAATGAATTGTTAAAAAAAACTTCAAACACTGTAGCACGTCGTTATAATTCTTGCTAAAATGAGTTCAGATAGTGGTGAAATTATTTAAACAAAAAACACATCTTAGCAGTGAAATGTACACTGGCTGCATAAGTAGAGAAAATAAATAGATCCATACGAACGCTTCTGCAGGAGGGAAAAGAAAAATATAATTGATCACTTTCTAGAAGACTGGACAGAATGCTGTACATTGTACAGAACATAGCAAAATAAAAGTGTGGTGAACTGGATTTGTTGTGTGTGTATGGGGTTTTTTTTAATGGCATTTGAATGTTTTAAGAAATTACTGGAAAATGTTTGAAGAAGTTACTAGGGAAATTTGTGTTTTATCGCTTCTGTGGACAGTGCTTCCATGAGCTTTTAAGATGTACTTCTTAACATGCTCCTCTCACTAAAGTGCAGTTTCTGATAATCTGGGAAAGGGAAAAAATTCAGAAACAACTCTTACCGTAATTCCTTGCAACAGCTTCTTACGATTGTGCAAAGCAGCCTGGTGCACGGGAGCAGGTTTCCAGGTAACGTAAGAAACCCCGGGAACGTGCTGGTTCGCAGAGCGGAGGTGGAATGTCAGGAGTTGGAGGTATGTCAGATGGTGGTCACATCTGAAGTTGGTGTGTCTAATCTAGTACTTCTGTCTGTGCCTTGTCTTCTTAAAAAGCTTCTTTTAAAAAGAAAACACTGACTTGTTTGCTAAGGGCAGAACTTTGACTTTTTCAAGTTGCTTATTTGAGTGTGAACCTTCGTTCTGAAGAGTTGGAGACAGCAAAAGCCCCTGATGCCCTCCTACCTTCAGTTGCAGTGAGCAGTCTATCTGTGTCGGTTCAAAACTGAGCTAATTGATGTCCAATACAGATATATTTAACAATGTGGTCATATTCAGTTACTGTCTTGGTTATGCTAACACATCTGCATTATTGTAATGTGAATCAAAGTTTGCAACATGTGGAGCTGACCAGCTAACCAAGGGAAGAAAAATCTCATCACAGTGGACGAGTTATGCAGGATTAACACTGAAGAGACGTTGGGGTGTGAAAGGGAGGAGGGAGGATGGAACCGCAGCAGGTTCAAGCACAGTCATGACACGGAACCATAGAATTAAATTTGGAAAAGGCCTCTGAGATCATCAAGTTGATGCAGCCTCTTGAGATTTACCTGAGATGACCAAGGGCATTGGCCTCCTAGGTTTTGAACCATTCTTAAATGCTTACAAAGGCAGGAGGGGTACCACTGTCCCGATGAACAAAAATGGGAAATATTTTTATAAATACAAGGTCCTAGCGGTCACTGGGGAAGTAAGAGACTGCCACTGTGAATTTCCCAACAAACCACATGAAAACAATCATCTGCTGCCTTTGCCAGGATAACTGACATAGTCAGTATGGAAAAAAAAAAGTAGGGAAATACAGAATTTGAGTGCACGTGGAGCAATAGCCTCTCTGTACTTATTTTAAGCACGCCATGGAAATCGAGTCTGGGTAGAATTACTCTTAAGTTGACTAAAATCAAACTCTAGTAGATGCTGAAAATGAAAAAGTGGGAAGGCTGATCAAATGAGGTCTGCAAGAATTTGATGTAGTACTGTTTGCTGCTTTTTCAGTCAGTAATTTGAATGCAGAAGCAGGCACTTTTTTCTTAATAAACATGAGAAAACACACCCTGGGAGAGCTATCAGCACTTCTGAGAATAGGCTGAAATTCAAGGTCTTGATTAGCTGGAAAAATGGTCGGAAACCAATCAGGTAAAAAGGTGTCATGCATTAGTTAAAGGTCAAAATAAAAGGGAGAGGGGAAAATGCTAAAGCAGTGAACAACAAGCCTGGCTGCAGTTTTGCAGAAAAACGAACAAAAAAAAAAACAACAAAAACCCACAAACTTGCACATCTGGAGATTTTAGAGCACCAGATGCAGAATATGAACCAACAGCATGACAGGTGACAATGGAAATAAGTGACTTTCAAGGGTGATTTAGAGGACTGTATGTAAGACACAAGAGGGCATTACTTTATTCTTCTTAACACTAGTGAGTCCTTGGGATATCGTCTCTGCTTTTTGTGGCTTTTGGATTTTAAGGACGTAAACAGATGAGGATTCAGAGGAAAATAATACAAATAAGTGACTTGTGAATCATACTAGGTTTGTTTCAGCCATCAGAGAAACCTTGACAAGTCCTCACCTATGAATAAGGCTCATATAAGAGCTTGGCAAAGGCTGACAACAAGAGCAGAAGAATAAATTTATCAGGCAGGGCTGTTCTGATTAGCTGTTCGGAGGGAAAAAAAAAATAAAAAAGCCTCTGGTTCTGTGTCACTGAACCAGTCACCAAATTTAAAAAAAAAAAAAAAAAAAAGGAAAAACCCTGCAGAAGAGCTTGTGCAAGGAGGAGCTTTGTCCCGAACTGACCCTCCTTGTTCTTCATCTTAGTGTTCGACCCCCATGTTTGCATGCTGCTGCAGGTGTCAACATGACAAAAAAATACTCAGCTGGTCAAGTGGGTGTACCAATAAAACCAGAGCTCATTGAAAAGGACGTGGTCTCAGAGAAGTATTCCTGCATGGCTCTGACTTAACATGCTACACAGGAATGAATACGTTTTAGAACGCTTTTTGCCCCATTTTGCACACGTTGCAGCATGCCCATTACAGCCCCCTGCTCCGTCTATGCAGCGAATTAGTTAATTCACCAAACGGTCACATCCACTCTTTTCTAGGGTATTCGAACAACAGCAACGACTTCCCCCAAAAAAAGAAAAAAAAAAGAAAGGAAAAAATAAAAAGAAGCAGAATTTATTGGGCTGACCGGTTTTATTAATGAACGAGGCATCATGAAATCCACAAAGTACGACCAAAATACTCATAAAGGCTTTGTGAGGACTGCAGGTCAGCCGGGCTATCAAGCGAAACAAGGTTCGGGCGCTGAGCACAAGCAGCCGCCGCCCCGATGGTTTTGCCTTCTTTCGAGACACGAAAACGCGACAGAAACGTTTATTTTATCTTGCTTTAAAAAAAGGAAATATATCCTCCAAGCTCAACCACCGCTAAGGTAAAACACACCGGGCACCGCCCTGTCCCCTCCTCGGCGGCTTTTCCCTGAC